ATAATAATTACATACCTATTCCAATCTCTACTACAATAGGATCACTGAAGGGACCTCTTCCAACAGAATTGACAGCTGCTATACTGATGTTATACTCAGTGCGGAGTCCTAGATCATTCAATATGATATATTTCTCAGTACTGTTCAGGTTGTATGTGATACTACTGTTACTGATAATCATGCACTGTATAGCCTGTGATTAGACCATTACGCTGAGAACAATTGACCTCATTCCAAGTGAGATTATTAATTGGTAATAAAGTAACATAATCAGGTACACCAATAGGAGCTATATGCAGAAAGTATATACAATTTTATTGTATAAATAGTGTACATACTTGATGATACTGTATCATCAGTAATTGAAGTAGGATCAGATCCTCCTAGTACATTACCAGCTCTCACTGTGATGGTATAGTTCATACCACTGTACAGACCTATTAATGTATAACTGTATGTTGTAGTGGACTGATGAGGAGTAACAGAGACTATCTCATTCACTGATGATAACTGGGGACAAGATGGAGTATAGGAGATGGTGTAGTGTGTTACATAGTTGTTACTACTGGCAATAGTCCAGTTCACTGTAATACCAGTGGTTGAGACATTAGATACTGAGAGACTAGTTACTGGACTAGGAACTAGAACAAATATCAATTACACTCTCTCAATGATAATAACTCACCATCAAATTTTAAAACTGTTACTGTACTATTAACTGAAGGAAGATCTATATACGAGTACACACTGATGGTATAGGTACTCATTGGTGATAGATCTGATAGTACTATTTCATCTTCACTGGTAGATACTACATTCCTGGTTACACCTCCAGTAGTATACTTGATCACATATCCATTAGTCTCTGATGAATTGGTCCAGTTCACTTTGATACTAGTAGCATTCAATATAAACCCTCTCACATTATTTGGAGGACCACTAGGAGCTAGAAAAAAAGATTAAGGTATCTACTATTGATTGAAGTATAATCATACTATGTAATATCACAAATTGACTGTAGTTGATTCCTCCAATCATTGCTATACAGGTAACATTAACTGACACTCCCAGTGGATCAGGATATACCAGTAGTGTGTTGTTGTATGTCAGGACATCAGTTGATGTATACATTGAGTTACTCTTCATCACTCCATTCACTAACCAGTAAACATCAGTTGAAGGATTTATATCAGTAGTTGTGAGACAATCAATACGATATTGAGTGTTATTGAGTTGTGTAATGGATGAGACTAGTGTCCAATTGATTGAATTAATAACTAGAAATACATCAACAATGTTACAAGTACATTAAAAGGTGCAGTAGCAATACCTGGTAAGGTCTGTACACTGATTGTACTATTAGCAGGTCCCAGTAATTGTTGATAGGCTCTGACTGTGATGCTATAAGTTGTTCCTAAATTCAGTCCATTCAGTGTGATTGTATTATTACTACTTCCCTCCACCTGTACTGTCTGCACAGTGTCTGTGTCACTAGTGACATTGACTACATATCCATCAGCATCAGATGAATCAAGTGCAGTCCAACTGACAGTGATAGTGGTAGCTGTCTTGTTGACTTCAGTAAGAGAAGAGGGAGCAGTAGCTGGTACTAAATATGTAAAAATGTTATAAGACAAAATTATGATCTCAGTTTACCTTTTATATTTATATTACGTATTCTAATTGCATTAGCATCAGGATGATCTGCTACCCTGCACTGATACATTTGATCTCCAGTGGTTGATTGACTGATTAATCCACTACTGACAGTCATTCCATCCCATGTGATATCAACAGTATATCTTACAGTGTTGGTACTACTAAGCAACATAGTACCAGAACAAGAATTACTATGATCATAACATCCAGTGTAATTAGCTAGTGCAGTACTACCAATGCTCATACTAATACCATAAAAATAGTATCCAATTTTAATACAATTCAGTTTGTATTCCTGAGGATATACTGTCATATCAGAAGGAAGATCAGCAACAGTAAATGATTCTATCTGTGAAAATCCTACAAATGACAATTATTACTACAGTAAGTGATTTATGTCTCCAAGCTCTTACTGAATATATTAGCAAAGATGATGTTAGTGATAGGATCTGAACAATCAGTGGGTAGACAACACTTGTACCAGCCTTCTTGAGTTGCTGCTAGTCCCTGAGCAAGATAAAGATTGAGAGTAGCATCAGGTGAAGTGACATTAGTACAACGAAAAGGATCACTGTCACTATTACTGTTACAGTCAATAGGATCATCAGGATCAGCAACTCTATGCCACTGACCAGTAGTTAGACTAATACCAGGTAACACACATGATATAGCTTCATTAGCTGCATTGACACTACTATCCCAAAAATATGATCCATTAGGATAACAGTTTCCATCATGCATCAGGTAGATACCTATAAAAATCAATATTTACATTAATTTATATAAATACCTTTTGTTTGACAATGAGTAAAGACACTGATTATACTACTAGCAGGTCCCAGTAATTGTTGATAGGCTCTGACTGTGATGCTATAAGTTGTTCCTCCTCTCAGTCCATTCAGTGTGATTGTATTATTACTACTTCCCTCTACCTGTACTGTCTGCACAGTGTCTGTGTCACTAGTGACATTGACTACATATCCATCAGCATCAGATGAATCAAGTGCAGTCCAACTGACAGTGATAGTGGTAGCTGTCTTGTTGACCTCAGTAAGAGAAGAGGGAGCAGTTGCTGGGACTAACAGAAAGAGATACATAATAGAATTATAATGACATGTGTAGACATTACCTTTTATGGTTAAATTACGTGTTCTATCAGCACCACCACTAGGATTATCCAGTACACACTGATACAATTGATCTCCAGTGGTTGATTGACTGCCTGATCCACTACTGACAGTCATTCCATCCCATGTGATATCAACAGTATATCTTACTGTGTTGGTACTACTAACTAACACAGTACCAGGACAAGGATTATGATTAACTCCATCTGCACAATTAGTGTAACTAGCCAGTGCAGTATCACCAATGCTCATACTAATACCATAAGAGTTGTGTCCAATTTTAGTACAATTCAGTTTGTATTTTTGAGGATATGCTGTCATATTAGAAGGAAGATCAGCAACAGTAAATAATTCTATCTCTGAATATCCTACAAAAGAAATGATTACATCAGTAAGTGATTATAGTCTCCTCTTACTGAATATATTAGCAAAGATGATGTTAGTGTTAGGATCTGAACAATCAGTGGGTAGACAACACTTGTACCAGCCTTCTTGATCTGCTGCTAGTCCCTGAGCAAGATAAAGATTGAGAGTAGCATCAGGTGAAGTGACATTAGTACAACGAAAAGGATCACTGGCATTATTACTGTTACAGTCAACAGGATCATCAGGATCAGCAACTCTAACCCACTGACCAGTAGTTAGACTAGTACCAGGTAACACACATGATATAGCTTCATTAGCTGCATTGACAGTATTATCCCAAAAATATGATCCACTAGAATAACAGTTTCCTACATAAGATCTGGTCAGGTAGATACCTATAAAAACCTATATATACAGTTGTTATTATACACACCCAGTGTCTTACCTGAGGAAGGTGGACATTGACTAATAACTTCACTGACACTCAACAAGAAGACAATAATCATCAAGGATACTGAGAATGCCATAGTTACTGGTACAATTTTGACAAACTTCACAGTTTTCTTTTACATAAATAAAGTGTAAAAAAGCTTTACATGTCACTAGCCATGATAATTCAAAACAATAACATGTTTACACACTGTGACAAACTCTGAACATAAACCATGCACACATAAGTTTTGTATTGTGTTTCAGTGAGTGCATATACATGCATTATGTTTTCAGTTCACATCACAGGATTAATATACCATAGCTAAGTCTATT